ATGGCCAGGGACAACACTAACAATGACCTGGACAATCACTCTCCCCGCCCCAGACTGTTGCCATGGAAAGCCCACCGCCTGTGATGCTCAGGCCCAGACCCTGGAGCGTGCTGCTGTGGGACAACCAGGCCCCTGTTCCCTGCCAGCCAGGAGCCCCATCCTCCACCACCTTGGGCGGCTCACTTCCACCTTTTAAATCTCGGGCAGGCATCTGTCCAGAGGAGCTGAGGCCACTGGCAGATCCCTGGCTGCAAGGGAGTCACGGAGATGTCGATGGCAGTTTTTCCAGAGACTCCGTGGCCTAAGCATGTGCACGTGGAAAGCCTCGTCCCGGCTCTGGAAGTCCTGCTGGGGACAGTCCCTGGGCCGTGAGTCAACAGGTGTGAGGCTGCTTCTGTGACCTCACACCTGCTCACTCCAGTTTGGAAGGTTGTCCCGTTCCTGGTTCTCATCCTTGTGGGCAGGAACCCAGAGGGCTCCAGGACGCTCCAGGACGCTCTCAGCTGCCCGATGCGCCCCCCATGCTGAGGCCAGGACCACGTGTGCACACAGGTGTCATCCACCCCAGGGTTCCACCCGGCCGTCTGCGCCTCTTCTCCCCATGTCATTCAGTGCTCCATCGGCCCTGCGACTGGTGATGAATCTCCATGGGATTCAAGGGCATCCTCTGAATGTGCCACCCTTGGCGTAAACGGGACTCTGCCGTGGGTCGCTGTTAGTGTGTGAGGTTGGGGCCAGCTTTGTCCTGGGTTCACAGAGCCAACTGTCCCCTGGAGCCTGCTCTGCTGGGCGCACGAGGATGCTGGCTCTGGCGCATGGGGACGCATCCTCTACTACAGATGTCAGCTGCCCTCCTTCACTGCAGGTCTGCCCCTGAGCAGTGGCTTGCCGCCTAGCGGCAGGGAGCTCACATTCTCATGTGACACCTTCAGACAGGGCGAGGCTGTTTAGAGATCCACGGGGCCGCTGCCCCATATGAAATGCTGCTCTGAGTCAGGCGCCCGTCACGCTTCTTAACGGCTGCCTAACGTGCCTCATTTTCACTGTCGTTTCAAAGCTGATTGTGCGTCACGCAGGGATCCCGGCAACGTGGTAACCCCCCTCTTCCACTGGACCGGCGCTCCCCCTGTTGGCTGCAAGCCCCTCATGACCTGCGCTGGTCTGGCCTGAGCCGTGCGTGTGCCCACACGCGTATGTGCGTGCACACCCTTGGGGCTTCTCTCCCTGGAGTCCTCTCCCCTCCTCAGTCTGTGCTGACACACCATCACACACGAGCATCAGCGCCTGAGCTAGCACTGAGCTTCGACGGCTTTAGTCCCCGCCCCACGGCGCCCCATCCCCATGCAAGTCAGGGCAGCGCCAGGCCTGGCCTGACCCGGGGCTCAGATTGTGTCATCAGGAGCTCCCTTAGCTCTGCTTTCCGTGTTGGCCTCACCCTTCTGTCAGGTGCCTGCGTGAGGTGCCCTGGCAGCGCCTCAGAGGGAGAGGGCTTCTCATTCATAGGAGTCCATTGCAAGTCCCAGCACGGGATGGCTGGGCCCAGGTCGCATGTCCATCCTCAGCCTGGTGACGGATCAAAGGGTATGAAACGCACTGACTGGCCGGATCTAGGTCCTATGTTTCTCTTTGATGCCTGTGTATAGACGGTTAACTTCCCCCAAACCACATGGACTAGGAAAGGCTGGAGGGGGTCTTCTGAGGAAAAAGAGGCACTGTTGGCATAAGATGGGGAGGTAGAGGGTGGGAGCAGGCAGGACAAATAGCCACAGACGTGGACTTCCCCACGCAGGGCAGTGGAGCACCTTGGCATCTCCACTGGGGATAAGCTCACCCCACAAGTGGTGGGAAACCAGCTCAAAACCCCCGAGAACCGCATATGACATCAGGGGTAGGGAGCCTGGAACTGAGAGCCACGTGGAGACAGGGCCCGAGGCAGGCAGAGTGGAGACAAGCCCAGGGTTTCCTGCTGGCCTGGGAGGCAGAGGGCCGGGTGGAGACACAGGTGCCCAGGGGCCGTGTCAGTAGGGAGCCCGGACAGGGATGGCAAGGAGCAGGCAAGGATGCGTCAGGAGGGAGGCCTCTGGAGGAGTTCTCCCAGCAGCTGGTTAGAAATGAGCTTCTCGAGCTCCTCTCCACACCACCTGCATCAAAATCTGAATATGAATCAGACCCACACGACCCACGTGCACCACTAGTCTGAAGGACCCATCTCTGAGCCCTGACAGTCAGGAACGATGGGACTTAAGTGACGAGGCACGTCAACATCATACCGAAGAAGGAGCAGAGCGCCGCCACCGCCAAGAGACTTCTCTGCGAAACCGAGGGTCTGGCGAGATTGCATCACCCCCATATCTTGATGGTGCAGGTCATCGAAAGTGAGGAGACACTATTCATCATCAGTGAATAGTGCGCGGAGGCAACCTGCTGGACCACCTGATGGAGCACGGCGCCCTGACGGAGGAGGAGGCGCGAGGCTGGTTCCGGCAGCTCGTCTCTGCTCTCCAGTACCGCCACCGCCGGGGCGTCATACACCGGGACCTGAAGCCAGAGAACGTGCTCCTGGACCCGGCGGGGAGCGCGAAGCTGGCCGACTTCGGCTTCTGCAGCCTGGACCCGGTGGGCCGCTGAGCACGTTCTGTGGCACCCCCGGCTACATGGAGCCGGAGGTCATGCGGCGGCAGCCCTACGACGGCCCCCGGCCGACGTCTGGAGCCTCGGCGTGCTGCTCCACGCCATGCTTGCCGGGTCCCTGCCGTTCTCAGGTGAAGAATTCCACGCCATGCAGCGCAGCATGCTCCTGGGGGCTTACTCGCCGCCCAGGCTGGTGTCGCGCCAGTGCGCCCGGCTGCTCAGAGGCCTGCTGACCCTCGACCCGGGAAGAGAAAGACCTTGGAGGAGGTGATGGGGGACCCGCGGTCAACTGTGGCCCGCCGAGGCTGAGGCCTTACAGGGAGCCGCCTGCTGACCGAGGGCCGCCTGGGGGACCTACGAGATGCCGAAGGCCCAGCAGCCATGGGGGGGTGGCCACGCCAGCCCCCGAGCGCCCTCCCCTCCAACAAGGCCCGCAGCTGCTGTGCTTCGCCACACTGCAAGGCGTGGCGGAGGGCCTCGGAGCCCCGCGGCCGCGCGCTGGCAGTGAGCCCGTTCTGCCTACCTGGGACCAGCAGGCTGGCCGTCAGCGGCCCAACGAGAAGCCACAGTCAGGGCCGAAGGTCGCAGAGCCTGGCGGTGCTCTGCCCAGCCTGGACACGGGCCTCGCCGCCCCCAGCCCGGCCCCCCATGGGACCCCGGGGCCGTCCCCTCCTCCCACAGTGCCTGAACCACACGTGGGGCTCAGGAGGGAAGCTGCCGAGGAGACTCCCGGCAGGCGGGGCAGCCCCACGGGGTGACCCTGGCCTCGCCCTCTGGCCGCAGCCAGGGCCGAGGGGGCGCTGCTGGGAGGCTGCTCAAGGCACTCCGAGGTCTGTGCCGCTGCCTGACAATCAGGATCAGGTCTCGCAAGAGGAACAGTGTGTGGCCCCAGTGAGGTCCCAGCAGGTCCGGTCCCAGCGCAAAGGTCGAGCTGCCCCCGGCATTGTCCACTCACAGGGAGCAAGTCGCAGAATCCGGAGCCGGCCCCGGGCGTGGGGCTTCGGCCAGAGGGAGACGCCTTCTGCTGTGAGTGGGGCCCGTGCAAGAAGGACACGCGTGTGTGCAAAGATGCGGGTCAGAGGACTCGCTCCAGCAACCGGGGAGCTGTGCCAACCGCGGCGGCGCTCTCTGCAGAGATTCAACTCGGAAGGGACTTGGCCCCTCTGGGCCTCCAAAGCATCGCGGCCAAACACTCGGGGAACCTAGAGGACGGCCTGGAGGCACCTGGGGGACACGAGGAGAGGCCACCCTCGCTGCAGCTCTGCCCCTTGGCCCCACCGGGGTGGAACCTCAGAGCCTGGACTGCTTTTCCCGGAGCACAGCTTCCCTCCCCGTCCTCTCCGTCTCTTCTTCCACGTTGAGGGGCTGACGGTCGGGTCTCGGAAAGTCCTCGGTTTTCCAAGTCTTGTAATAAGCTTGCTGCTGCAGAAAGCTGTGTCGCAGATGCTCCGTTTTTGCACCCTCCTTACGCAGAGCGGGGCTGGGCGGGCTCCAGCTTGAGACGCGTGTAGGGATGTAGCCCGAGGAGGTGATCGGAACAACTAGGTGGAGAAGTGACTCAGAATTCTTGGGGTAACGCTCCTAGCAACTAATGCGGGTCTGAAGGGACAAGGCTGGGAGCCACAGTGGAGGGCAGAAAGGCAGCGACCGTGGCTAACACTAGCTGACGTTTCCAGAAGCAGCACGGGAAACTTCGAGCCTGTGGCTTTTATGACTACAAGCGAGAGGTCCAGATAGGGTAACCGAGTCCGTGAGCCACCCTTGGGGGGTCGGGGTGGCAGGGTGTGGGCCCCCGAGCGGACTCAGGTCACTTCCACGTGCAGGGGCCCTGGGCACTGGGACGATTTCTCCTTTTGATGACGGTGATGCGGAGCAGGCCCCTAAGAGCACTGACGAGGTGTGGGCTGTTCGGACAGCTGCAGGTTCCAGGGGAGGTGACAGGAAGCCAGACATCCTGGGGCTCCAGAGGGAGGGTCAACCATCAGGGAGCTTCCGCAGGGGCTCCTCAGAAGCCTGAGGATGGCCAGGAGGCCGCTGGCTGCTGCTCGCGAGGCCGGTGGCACTGTGTGCAGTCTTTCCACGTGCTCACGAGACGGCTCGGGACGGTCCCAGCACGAGAGTGGGCAGAGATTTCCCTGCGCCCACGGAGTGCAGGGCCAGGGCCAGGAAGAGGAGGGCTGCGGACATGCTGGAAGGCTTGTTGCTCCCCGTTCGGGTCCCCCGCTGTGGTTTTCTTTACGCCAAACAGCCCAGCGTGTGGTCCTCCGGCATTGCTCTCCTGGCATCTGTCCAGGACCCCTTCCCTTCAGGGCCAGTCCCACTGCCTCGGTGGGCTTTCGGGACCCTCTGTGACCTGTCCCGGCAGCCCTTTGCACTCCCACCTCCTCCCTGGGCTTTACTCACACTGACTGGTTCGGTTTTCCACAAATCCTCTGCCCGTGAGGCTCCCCTCGGTGAACCCACATGCTGGGCGCTTGGCCAGACTCACGGGCTCCCCGAGGGGAATGAGGCGTGGATCCCGCTGGAAGAGCACAGCCCAGCTGGGAAGAGAAGGCGGGGACCCAACAGGAGGACAGTCCCCTGTGCCGGGGACAGAGGCAGGACGTGCCCAGCTCAGCACACGCTCACCCCTGCTGGCAGTCTAAAGGGAGGTGGCACCTAGTGGGGAGGGCTGCAGGCTCTGACCGCAGCAATCGGAGGAGGCGTCCCAGACAGAAGGAGGCTGCGGTGGTGGGCACGTACAAGACAGAGGCAGGCGCGAGGCTTGGGGGGACGTGGACCAGCACCCCTTGTTTCTGGGACCACTTCCGCTGGTGCATTGTGCTCTGCGTCTCCGAACTTCGATATCCCCAGCTCAGGCCTGGAGAGCAGTCAGCTGCGATGACGGAACGCTCTGCTGATGAGGCTTTCTCCGTCTCTTCTGTGAGCTTGGGCGCTGGCTGGCTGGCCGGCGGCTGCCTCTGAGCTGCCTCGTTAGGCTAAGCTCAGTTCCACAGCAAGGGCCCTGGGTCAGTTTCTAAGGAGCAGGGGAGCAGGAGCAGGGAGCGACGTGCTCGGCCTCCGCTGGAGAAGATGCTTCTGGCTTCAGGTGCACAGTGGGCTCTGTGGGGAGAGACCGTGAGTCGGTGTGGGGCCCCACCAGGGATTTGCCAGCGCAGCTAATGAACGCCCCCGCTGGCCCGGCATCTTCAGCTGACTCCTGAATTATGAATTACTTAATGCAACTGGTCTGATGGGTCATTTTTCACAAAACAGCAACTCAGGGTGGGGAGTGGTGGGGTGGTGGGAGAAAACATTACCAGGGGTGTGGCAGACAGGTCCGGGTGGCTCCCAATGGCATCGTCCACCTCCCAGAGCAACGAACCCCTGACTCCTGGCTGGGCATGTGGCCACCCAGGACATAGAGTTCCCAGCCGCCTCTGCAGCGGGCTGGGCATGGAACCCAGCGCTCCCTCAGGACGGGAAGGGAAGTGACTTGTGCGGCTTCCAGATATTTCCCAGGAGAGAGAAGCAGGCTCTTCTATCTGCATCTCCCTCTGTCCTGTTGCCGGGAGCACGAGCTCTGAGGCTGGAGCTCTGTCCTGACCACACGGACGAGGGCGGCTCCTCTGGGATGACAGGGCAACGGGGACAAGAGCCTCCCGGGCAGCCCTGCCAGACCAGCGCCAACCGTGTGCCTCCAGACTGAGCGCGGGAGAGGGGCCAGCTCTGAGCGTCACTCTGCCGTGGGCCTTTGTTCCAGCAGCTGGACCCTGTCCTGACCAGGATGGCCATCTTGGAGGCAACTTTCTGGGGGCTCCCTTGGGTCAGGCCGCTCCCCGGGCCACAGCTGCCTGCAGTGCTCAGCCCACCTTTCTGTGGGGTGACAGCGAAGCAAGCTCCAACCCACTCCACTCTTGGGGCGCTGCCCTGGAAATCGAATGCGTGAAGGTCGATGCCCCCAGGAAACAAATCTGGCGCTGGTGTCCCCAGGGCGTCCCCTTGTTCTGTCCTCCCACACTGCGCACCCCCACTCTCTCCCAAAGACACCCCTTGTTCTGAAACAGGCCGGGCTGAAACTGTCTCTCCCTGCTGATGTCCGCAGATTCTCGTCACCTGACTCAGGAGCAGCTCTCTCACTGGATTATTGCTGGAAAGTTGAGTTAGGAACTGAGGGCTGTCTGCTAAAGTGACAAGATTAAAAGCTGAATCCGAAAAACCACCAAACTCCAGGCTCAGTGGGCGGCAGAGCCTGGGACTCGGTCAAGCCCTGGCCCGAGCCCGCCACCTGGGGAGACAGACATTCGGGACGTCCCGGGGCTCTGGTCTTGTCCGTGGAATGCCTGATGTGCCCTCCACTCTTCTGGAGCCTCCCGTTTGATGGGGAAAGGAACTCCAGTGTGTATTCCAGGTTCACCTTGTCGAAGATGCTGTGACAGGGCGCACACATCCTTTGCTCTTCCTCTGTTCAGGCTAAGCGTCTGCAAAGGGTCTGGGAGGGCAGGTTTCACAGAGAAAGTGACAAGGGAACATGTGCGGTTCAGTAAGGCCAGCGGACCCGGAGACGATGCCATTGAGAAGATAGTTGATTACTTGCAGTTCTCCGAGGCGGAGCTCGCAGGGCCACCCGGGAAGCCCCGGGGGTCAGGAGGCGAGACAGCAGGGCACCGCGGGCAGGAGTCTGTCCTGTGGGTTCTGCGGGGAGGAACAGCGAGGCAGGGTGAGCAGGCTCAGACGGGCTGGTCTGAATAACTCACAGGCTCCGGGGCAGGGGCTGTCCCGCCTGTCCGGTGCCTGCCCTGGGGGACAAGGGCAGGGGGCCCGTGGCCCTGAGTGTGAGAGTCCAAGAGAGGAGGTGCTTGGGGTGTGGATGGCCCCTGGATGGGTCGGTTTGTATTTGGAATGTGGGCCCACGAAGGAGGGCTCTTCCTGGGGTGGGGGTGCGACAAGGGAGGCAGGAGGCTGAGCCGAAGGGACTTGGGACAAGGCGTGTCCCCTATGCGCACGCGGGCCAGAGGTTAAAGCCTCAGGTTTCCAGAAGCTACAAACATGGCCCAGACAAGGCTCAGCTCCGACGTCACCTCCTCAGAGGAGCCTTCCCAGCCTCCTGAGTCCACAGTGACGGCCTCCTGCCCCGCTCTCCCTCGCGTTGGCCCTTTCATTCCCCTCACTGTGTTCAGAGCCAGGCCCCCCGCTCAGCACCCACTCAGTGGGAGACGGGCAGGAGGTCAGGGTGCCCCTTCATTCAGAAGCTTTATTCTTTTCCTTTTTGTTGTGAGGAAGATTGGCCCTGAGCTAACATCCGTGCCAATTTTCCGCTATTTTCTGGGCGGACACCTGCCACAGCATGGGCTGATGAGCGATGTGAGTGTCTGCACCTGGGGTCCAAACCTGCAAACCTGGGGCCGCTGAAGAGGAGTGCAGGAGCTTAACCAGTATGCCGCCGACCCGGCCCCAGGATTCTTTTGATAGCCTGTGACAGAAACCCAAGGGGCTTGAACTAGCAAACGAACAAAGCAGGAGAGAACGATTTCTGTAACTAGGCCGTCTAAAGGCAGAGAGTTTCAGGTGAGGCTGTACCTGGGTGCTCGACGCCATCAGCAGGGATCGGCCCTCCCAGCCTCTTGGCTTGGCTGCCTGCCCTTGTGCTGCTGTCCTGCTCAGGGGAGCTCTCCACCGCCACTCCCGGGCTGGCCTCAGCACCCCTCAGCAGCCCAACAGAAAAAGAACTTCTCTTCCCCAGGATTCCAGCCCTAACTGCTTCCCGTTTCCCAGGTGGGAGATGGGGTGCCTGGCCGGGCCAAGGTGGGACCGGCTCTGAGTTCACATCAGCCCCGCCGTCGGTTCCCCTTCAGAGAACCCAGCAGAGATGGGCTAAAACTCAAGGCCCACATCCCCAGGGCCCTGGGTCCTTAGTGACACTCATAGGTAAAGGCTTGTTTCTGTGACCTCTGACCGCTTCAGCTATAGAGCCAAATGGAATTAGCAAATTGTTCAAGTCCAGATGGGCTCCCGCTGGGCTCCCACTAAAGTCATGCTGATCCCAGGACCTTGAAGTCCTTTTACAGAGGAACTAGCGTCCAGACAATATCCAGAAACCGAGGCTGCCCAGGCCCAGCTCCTCGGCTCCCTGACGTCAGAGTGCACCTTCCCCCGTGGAGACAAACAGCCGAGGACGCTCATCTGAGAAACCCTCTGTCTCCTCGGCTGGAAGCAGCCCCAGACCAGGCCCATGGGAAAACACTGATCAGGAAGGCCACGGCACCCTCCCCTACCTAAAGCCCCAAATCAAAAGCCCCACCCGTTTCTTAACGAGGAGCTAGCAAGTTGGTGGGCCCTGGCTCTTGCTTTGCTGCCCCTGCCTGGTGAAGGAAAGCTTTCCCAAAGGGGAAGTTTCCCAAAGTTTGTTAGCACTAGGCAGTTCCTTCCATGTTCATCTCAGGAGGAAAAATCTCAAAATGCCAGCAAGTTGGCTTCAAGGGGCCTTTCCAGGAAACCCTTCGAGGTTTTTCCTGCCTCCTGAAGATGATGAGACTTTAGGGTCCCCAGGGCGGCCTTGGCCTGCAGTGCTGGGATGGTCCTACATGGTCTTGGGTTCAGAGAGAGCCCCCTGAGAGCCGGGCAGGGGTCAGTCCCGGGGCCCAGATGGGGACACTGAGCCCAGGATGTTGAGGCCTCTGGAGGAGTTCTCCCAGCAGCTGGTTAGAAATGAGCTTCTCGAGCTCCGCTCCACACCTCCTGCATCAAAATCTGAATATGAATCAGACCCCACATGACCCACGTGCACCACTAGTCTAAAGGACCCATCTCTGAGCCCTCACAGTCAGGAACGATGGGACTTCCGTTAGATCTTGGGTTCAGACTTTCTGGAACGCAGGATGGCAGTGTGTATGAAGGAGGCTTAACAATATTCATGTTCTTCGATCCAGTATTTCCACTCCTGAGACTGTTGCTTACGAGATCATCAGAGGCAGGGACAAAGGATGCTGCGCACAGAGACGTTCACTGCAGTGTTACTTCTACTCAGAAACTGCGGCATGTTCACAGACAGTAAAGGGTGAAGTCAAGTACGGCACGGTATACATCGACTGTTACGTGACGATTTAAAATGCCTTTTTAAAAGAACTTGCAGGGAATGGCGGGGAGTAAGTCATAAACAAGACAGACACCCTGCCTGCCCCTGGGAGCTGACATTCTCCTGGGGAAGACAGACAATGAGCGAGTGGACAGATGAGATGGTCTCAGATGGTGACAAGGACGCAGAGGGAAGAGTGGGATAATGTGGTAGAGGATCAAGGGGAGTTGGGGAGGGCTATTGAGGTGGGGGACACGGGGAGAGCCTGTCCTAGGAGCTGGCATTCAAAGTGAGATCCAACGGATGAGGGAGCCAGTGAAACGAGCAGCCCGGAGAAGACCTTCCGGGCAGGAGGAACAGGACTGACAAGATGCTGGAGCTGGGGAGCTTGGCGGTGTGAGGGATGCGATGGAGGATGTGAGACTGGAGCAGGAGAAGCCGGGAGAAGCTGGAAGCTGAGGAAGCTGGAGAAGCGAGCAGGGCCAGACCCCTCGGGTCTCGTAGGCTGTGGGTGGACTTTGGGTTTGTTCTGAGGGCTGGAGATGGGGTACATGCCACCATGAACAAACACGGTAAAGCTCTAGTAGCTGACCCTGAGGAAATGGAGCTCTGCAGATTGCCCGACAGCAAATTCTACGCAGACATCTTAAAGAAGCTCAGTGAGGCATGAGAGAATACAGACAGACAACTAAACACACACCTTCTGAGCTAAAGAGTACAACGACTGCACTAAAAAATTCAGTGGAGGGCTTCAGCATCAGACTTGAACAAGCAGAAGAAAGAATCAAGGAACTCAAGGACAGGTTATTTGAAGTTATCTAGTCAGAGGAGCAAAAAGAAAAAGGAAGGGAAAGAATGAAGAAAGACCGTAAGACTTGCGGGACATCCTAAAGGAAACCAATATAAGAGAATGGGTGTTTCAGAAGGAGAAGAGAAAGTGAAAGGAGCAGAAAGTGTACTTCAAGACATAATAGCTGAAAACTTTACAAATCTGGGGAGAGAAATGGACATTCAGGTTCATGAAGCCCAAAAGACCCCAAATAAGTTAAACACAAACAGGGTCCACACCGAGACACGTTCCTTAAATTGTCCAAAGTCAAAGACAAACAAAGCCTTTTGAAAACAGCAAGAGAAGAGTGACTCATCACATCCAAGGGACCCCAGGAGATGATCAGCATAGTTTTCGAGAGAAACCTGGAAAGTCAGGAGAGAGTAAGATGATATGTTTAAGGTGCTAAAGGAAAAAATACCCACCAACCGAGGATGCGGTCCTTGGCAACACTGTCCTTTACAAACGAAGGAGAGAGAAAGGCTTTTCCAGAAAAGCAAAAACTGAGGGGCTTTGTTACCCCTAGACCTGCCTAAGAGAAGTACTTCCAGTTGAAAGGAAAGAAGACTACACACAACACAAAAGCTTATGAAAGTATAAATCTTATTGGTAAAGGTAATATATAGACAAGTACGAAACCAAGTAATACTGTAATGGTGGCGCATGAAATGCTTTTAACCCTGGTCTAAAAGTTAAAAGACAAAAATATTAAGAATAACTATAACTACAAAGATCTGGTAATGGAAACACCATAGAAAAGATGTGAATTGTGACATCAATAACATGCAATGTGTGCCCACGACCAGGTGTCTTCACAAGGGAATTCTACCAAACATTTATAGAGGAACTGACACCAATCCTTCTTAAACTCTTCAAAAACGTTGAAGAAGGAAGACTGCGAGCTCCTTTGTGAGGCCAGCCTTGCCGTGACACCAAGGCCACACAAAAAGTTAAAAGTAGAGCTACCAAAGGATCCAGCAATCCCACTGTGGGTACGCACCCAATGGAATTGAAATCAGGATCTCAAAGAGACGTCTACACTCCCATGTTCACGGCAGCGTTATCACGAGAGCCAAGGCATGGAAGCAAGCTGAATGTGTATCAAGTGATGAGTGGATGAAGAGAATGGGGCTTACACACACAATGGAATGTTATTCGGCCTTGAAAAAGAGGGGAAGCCTGACATTCGTCACAACTTGGGTGAATCTGGGGGACGTTATGCTCGATGAAACAAGTCAGACGTGGAAGGGCAGATACCAGAAAACCACTTCCACGAAGAATCAAATAGTCAAACGCACAAAGAAGAGAGCAGACGGTGGGTGCCAGAGGCTGAGGAAAGGGCAAGCGGAGAGGTCTCAGTCGAAGGGCACGGAGCCTCCGCGTCTCAAGGTGAGTGCGTTCCAGAGCCCTACCGTGCAGCACTGTGCCTCTGGGTCATAGTGCTGGGCTGTGTACTTACGACTCTGCTCAGAGGGCCCGTCTCATGTTAGGTATTCTTATCACACACACACTCACAAAACAATGACTAACAAGGTGGAGGGAACTTTTGGAGGTGATGGATGTGTCTATGGCACAGATGGTGGTGCTGGTTTCACCGATGTATGCTCGTCTCCAAAGTCATCACATTGTATGTGTTAAATATATACAGCTTCTGTTTGTCAATTACACCTCAAGAATGTGGTTTAAAAAACAGTAAGAGTGGGTGGAGAGGAAACTGCCTTGGTCTAGAAGCTGCTGCAGGCCTCGTGGACGAGGCGATTGGGCCACTTTGACAATCCGTGTCAAGTGAGCAAAGCTCACACAGAGTGCTAGAAACCGTCATTTTGACTGTATAAAAAAATGGACAGAACCCAAAGTCCGGGAGGAAACATGCAAATTATCACAGTGATGACCTCCGGGCGGTGGGATTACGTACGATTTTCACTTGTTTTTCTTAAGCGTTCCTGTATTTTTTTCACACAAGACAAACAATAGAGGTGATTTCAAAATCTGAACGTGGGCCAGTCTCACTGATTAGTTGCAGACGACAGAACACTCTTTCTGGTTTGAGCTGAGGAGAATCTGTCCATGGGTGCTAGGACTGAGAAGCCAGGACCAGCAGGGGACCAAGCTTGGATGCCCCATGGCCAGGGACAACACTAACAATGACCTGGACAATCACTCTCCCCGCCCAACTGTTGCCATGGAAACCCACCGCCTGTGATACTCAGGCCCAGACCCTGGAGCGTGCTGCTGTGGGACAACCAGACCCCCTGTTCCCTGCCCACCAGGAGCCCCATCCTCCACCACCTTGGGTGGCTCACTTCCACCTTTTAAATCTCGGGCAGGCATCTGTCCAGAGGAGCTGAGGCCACTGGCAGATCCCTGGCTGCAAGGGAGTCACGGAGATGTCGATGGCAGTTTTTCCAGAGACTCCCATGGGGCCAAGCACAGAAGGAGGGGCTGGCACACTGGTGGAATGAGTCAGCCTGCAGGGTCCACCAGAGGTGTGAAATAAGAGTGACAGAAATGATCACTTGCACCCTTGACCTTCTCGAGGCCACGGGAAGGCTCAGCTATCCACTGTGTTACAAGGAGGAGAGCGAGTGGCTCTCTCTTGGTCCCGGGAGCACTGGCTCTCAGAGCGCCTCACCCTAGCTTCCACAGTGCATACTGTCCTGGCTTCCAGCTGCCAGCTCTGTCTGGCTGGGACTTTCCTTACCGCTGGAGACTCCTTGGCCCCCTGGGTGACAGG